CAAACCATGTTGATATTATATATCATATTTATACAATATATTATTATTATATTAATAATAATTATATTATTATTATTATATAACAATATATAAGATATTATCTATTGTATGTATATCTTTCTTGTATAGTCAAGTATCTATTATACATATGCTATATATCATCATATCTCGTATATATATGTGTGTACATATTATATATACATATTATTATTATTATTATTATTATTATTATTATATACTGTTAACAATAACACTACATTCCTACCATCATGTCATCAGTACTATTACCACCATCTTGCAACTACAACTTCTTTGCACCTTATCTACCTATTTATCTTTTCTACCTCAGTATTTTATTCTATTGTTGTATTTTATTCTATTGTTGTATTTTATTCTATTGTTGTATTTTATTCTATTTAAATGTACTTTTATTGTATTTTAATGTACCTGGCTGCTATGACGACCCAATTTCCCTTTGGGATTAATAAAGTCTATCTATCTACCACCACCCACAAAAGAACACCAATTATATTATTCTCAGTCAATCAATAAATGAACAGGTGATGAGGGTTGACCTGGCCAGCTGGCTCAGCTCTCTGTGTGTCAGTGGGTTTCCATGTTTCTCCAGCAAGTTCTTCAGCAGCTGGAAGCGAGTCTGAAAACAAAAGCAGCATCAGTCAGACCAACCTGAAAGATGGAGGTTTGATATCTTTAACTGAAGGTTGGACTCACCTTCTCGGCTGGCAGAGCGACATACACACGCTTAGCAAAACGCCTGCAAATAAAAACACATTTTATTTGTTAGCTGCTGTTCTAAGTCATTCATTTCATTTAAAAGCAGTAAATTAAAGAAAATAAGATTCTGTAGTATTCTGTAGTGTTCAACTGAAGTTCAGCTGCAGTTTTTCAACCAACAGCAGCATTAGAGAGTTCTGCTTTAACGAACACAAAGAAACACAAATTGATCAAGTTTTTTTATTGTTTGGCTTTTATTGCCTTTATTTGATAGAGACAGCTGTAAATAGACAGGAAAGGGGGGCAGAGAGAGGGGATGATACGCAGCAAAGGGCCACAGGTAGGATTCAAACCCAGGCCACTGCAGCAACTCCGTATATGGGTTGCCAGCTCTACCAACTGAGCTAACCGGGCGCCCTGTCACATTAATTTCTAAGATAAGACTTCTGACCTGAGAACAGCCTCGTCCAGCTCCTGAGGCCTGTTGGTGGCTCCCATTACCAGAACCTGGTCATCAGCTCCTGACTGGACCTGGAACAAGAGTTTATCCATCAGTGTTTGCTGATGATTCCTACAGTTAACGTCGCACCAGAATGAACCACAAAGTTATTCCTCTGCAAGCTTTTCAATATCTCACTCCGTCAAACTCGATGAGGAATTCGGTCTTGAGGCGTCGGCTGGCGTCGTGCTCGCCCTCCCTCCGCTCACACAGCAGACTGTCCACTTCATCTGGACACAGACAACAGGGTTCACACAACCGTTATTTAAAAGGAGTCAGTGATGCTAACAACATCCATGATGATGATAGTTACCGATGAAGATGATGGAGGGTTGCCGCTCTCTGGCCACAGAGAACAGAGCTCGAACCAGCTTCTCCCCTTCACCCACCTGCACACAGATGACATCGCTGCAGCCAATCAGTCGTTCTAATCTGCTCGTTATTTGGTAGAATAATCGCAGTGTAATGTGAATAGTGCAACGTGGATGTTTTCAGAGATACTTACATATTTGGAGGTTAAGCTGGCGGCGCTGATGTTGAAGAAGGTGGCGTTGGACTCAGCAGCCACAGCTTTAGCCTGGAGTCAATAAAAGGTACAGAAAACTCTAAACCCTTAATATGTGTAAGTCATGGATGTTGTCCTGCCATCAGCCCTGAGAAATGTCACCAAGTGCTGTAAAGTGGTTCTGTTTCATTTTCCCGAAAGGGCCGTTTGGATGTAGACACGGTACATTGATTTATATCGCATATTTCATGGCCAACGCAAAGTGGTTGAAAGGTCAAACTGAAGATGTGTGAAGAGATTCAGGCGTGTCATTTTGATATTGTGTTTTTACTGGTGTGATTGTCATTTTATTTGTTGTAAGGAAACATTTATCAAACAGAATATATCAAATAAGCACCAGTTAAGTTGAACAGTGGGAAGTTTCTCACCAGCATCGTCTTGCCGTTGCCGGGCGGACCGAACAGAAGAAGTCCTCTGGTCGGAGTACGCAGTCCTGTAAACAACTAGAGAAGAAGATAATCTGTTTCTTTAGTAAATGTCCAACATGGAGTAAAACATTGAACCTCAGTTTCACTGTCGGTCAGTAAACTCACCTCCGGTCGCAGCGCCGGCAGTATGACGATCTCCTGCAATGCCTGCTTCGCCAAATCCTGACCGGCAACGTCTTCGAACCTCACTGACGAGCAGCTGGAACACGATCAATACCACAATCAATACCAATTAACTGATGACAGCGTCACTTCAGCTTCACTGTGTCCATTTATCAGCCCTGTTTTTGTCTCTTTCTGTTGTTTTTTGTCTGGAACACCTGGTTAAAGCTATATTAATCAATTAGTTGTTTGCTCAAAGATATTCAGTTTAAACCAGAAAATATTCTCTAAGTTCTCTCCTATTTGCACATTGAAATTATTGTACTTTTCTTTTATTGAATCAATTTGATCTTTTTCTTTGGTGTCGTGCTTTGAAAACCTCCCTGTAAAGAACAGAAACTCCCTCAACAATCAAACCCGCTCAATGATCCTATAAACCTGCTCGGTGAGTCATCTCTGCACAGCTAATAAGGCCAGTAACTCAACGGCTGCTGTGAACCTTCAGCTTCTTCTTCTCCTGGCGGAGTCCACCGTGCCCTTCTGGGCGGAGGTCTATAGTTCAAATGTGGAGGAACAACACCCTGCATTAACAACCTAACAGCGGCTTCCCCTCTGCGATGACCTCCGCTGGAGGATGCAGCAGCTCGCGGCTTCCCGGTCACGTCTTTCAGGTTCTTTGAGTCCTTTCTTCCCTCCAGCTGCTGTCGGAGGGGCCGAGCCGCGCTCTTCCGCTGTGACGACTCGTTCTGCCTGCAGGGGGCGCTGGGAGCTGAGGGTGGAGCGACACCGATGGAGGCCCCCAAGAGGAAGAGGAGGCCAGGAAGAAAATAGGACGGCTTGTGGCGAAGAGCTCTTGGTCCGAGCTGGCCCGGTGCTGATTCACAAGAGTCTCCTCCTTTCTGGGGACAGCGCCACAAACTGCGACCAACGACGATGCAGTTCATGAGCGATTTATTTTCAGGATGCAACAATTCACCGCGATCAATTAATTGATATTCTGATTTCATACTTATGTACCGTATCGTTCTGATAAATTATTTGATCCATAATCATAATAATTCTATGGCCCATGACCAGCAAAAATTGTATTAATATTTTTGCCAAATTAAAATTGCATCTTGGTGCAGCTTTACAGATTCTTGGAAAACCGAGGAAACGCCAGAACAGAATTCAGCAGTGCGGACCGACTTTGTATTTATGGGACTCAAACATCAGCGACAGCGCCCCCTGAAGAGCAGCAATCTACAGACCTTGTTCTGTTTGTGACTTCGAGAGGAAATAAAATGAAGACAGTTTCACATTTCCTTCAGATGTATCCACTGTGGATGTGCTGTAACATCATGGCAGGACGTACCTGTACGCAGGTGGGCAGCCTGGTAGGCAGGGTTAGTGCCATTAGTGTAAATGTCTGCCTGAGCCCCGGATCCTGAGAGCCCGCTGACTAAAACAACAACAACAACAACAAAGAGGAGAAAAAAACAAAAGTCAACAGGTTGGACTGACATAAAAAACATTACGCTGAGAGCCAGAGAGTAACGTTACGCTAAAAACAGTATTGGAACATCTCTGGACGTTTTCTGATTTCAACTTTGGACGTAAGTATCAGCATTCGTGTAAGAGTGGAAAACAAAATGCAGTCTGGCAGGAAAGAGTATGGAGTCTGTACAATGTCTGTTTAATGTGACTGATCGTTACGTTCTCCAGTAATGTCTACATGAGGTCAGGGTTGCCGGAGGGACCGTGGAAACCTCAACAGACTGCAGGTCTGATGTGGTGAAACCGTCAAAGCTACCTAAAGACTGCAGTCGGTCTTTGGCCGCGATCAGGTTGGTGCTCATCTTGTTCTGCAACCGTCTGTCTCGCTCAGATTTCTCTCCTGGAAAAGAGAACAATCATAAAAACAGTCATGAACAAACCAGTCGTTCACACCACGTGAATTTAGTCCTGACAGAAACACTGCGTAACTGAATCTCAAAAAATCTACTCAATCTCATACAGTAACTGTTATTGATTCCTGATTGACAAGAAGACTGTGGACATATGACGGCTTTTAGCTCAATATAATTAGCTTAATATACATATTTAAATCATTACATTAACGGACGTCCTTAATGACAATGTTTAGTATACTGAATATGGAATATGGATATTATTGAACATGTTAAATGTGGGTCAGTTGTTTGTTGAACCATGAACTCACCACGTCCTAAGATCTGGATGGCGATTCCTCTCTCCAGTTCGGTGATCCCTCGTTGGTACCAGCCCACCGCCTGCTGCTTGTCACCTGACGACACATACGGATATGGACTCAAACACACATTCATTTGTTCACATGTTTTCATCAACTTATATCAGACTGACTGACTCCTACGACAGTCTGGACCTTGTAAAGTATGTTCACATGGGGCGGCTGTGGCTCAGA